AACTAAGGCCTTAAAAAAACAAAAACAAAAACAAATGAGTAGTTTAGCCAAACAAATGTCTATCTCGAAACCAATTGCACAATAATTTGCTGAACAAAGAGGTTGAATATCTTAGTAAAAGTCATCTGCGTGCCACAGGCAGCCCTATAGTAACTACCCAACATACGACTCATTCGGGTCAGCTTTGAAGTTGATGGGGCGATCAAACCAGTGATTTTAAAGAGTTAAGCGAACATGAAATAAGCTGTAGAACTTATCTCACCAACCTGAGTTAATCATTGCCGCTTGCTGACTCACTGCTAGCTACGCGACTCAGCAGGAAGTCACGAACATCTGGGTCACGTGATGAGGCATGGTATAAAGAATCCCGGCCGTTATCATCCTTAGTTAAAGGATTAGCTCCCCTCTCAAGGAGATACTTTACACCTTGCAGTTTGCCAGAACAAACAGCAATGATTAGAGGAGTAGCACCCTTGGCGGTTTTTGACTCAATGTCCGGCAAGTGAGTAAGGATAAGATCAATGACGTCAGTGTCTCCACCCTCTGCGGCAAAATGTAACGCATTCCACCTCCTCCTATCAACACAGGTTACTTTTGCCCCCTTCTCAAGAAACCATTTCACTGCGTGTAATTTGCCCTTGAAAGCCGCCACCATTAGTGGTGTGTAACCCTCGGCTGTTTTGGACTCTATGTCCGGCAAGTGAGTAAAGATAAGATCAATGACGTCAGTGTCTCCAGGCTGTGCGGCAAAATGTAACGCATTCCACCTCCTGCTATCAACACAGGTTACATTTGCCCCCTTCTCAAGAAACCATTTCACTGCGTGTAATTTGCCATTCAAAGCCGCCACCATCAGTGGCGTGTAACCCTTGGCTGTTTTGGACTCAATTTCCGGCAAGTGAGTATGGATAAGATCAATGACATCAGTGTCTCCACCCTGTGTGGCAAAATGTAACACATTCCACCTCCTGTTATCAACACAGGTTACATCTGCCCCCTTCTCAAGAAACCATTTCACTGCCTCTAATTTGCTATTCAAAGCCGCCACCATTAGTGGCGTGGAACCGTGGCCTGTTTTGGACTCAATGTCCGGCAAGTGAGTATGCATAAGATCAATAACGTCAGTGTCTCCACCATATGCGGCAAAATGTAACATATTCCACCTCCTGTTATCAACACTGGTTACATTTGCCCCCTTCTCAAGAAACCATTTCACTGCGTGTAATTTGCCGTTGAAAGCCGCCACCATTAGTGGTGAGTAACCCTCGGTTGTTTTGGACTCAATGTCCGGGAAGTGAGTAAAGATAAGATCAATGACGTCAGTGTCTCCACCCTGTGCGGCACAATGTAACATATTCCACCTCCTGTTATCAACACAGGTTACATTTGCCCCCTTCTCAAGAAACCATTTCACTGCGTGTAGTTTGCTATTCAAAGCCGCCACCATTAGTGGCGTGTAACCGTGGGCTGTTTTGGAATCAATGTCCGGTAAGTGAGTATGGATAAGATCAATGACGTCAGTGTCTCCACCCTCTGCGGCAAAATGTAACATATTCCACCTACTGTTATCAACACAGGTTACATTTGCCCCCTTCTCAAGAAACCATTTCACTGCATGTAATTTACCATGCAAAGCCGCCACCATTAGTGGCGTGGAACCCTCGGCTGTTTTGGTCTCAATGTCCGGCAAGTGAGAATGGATAAGATCAATGACGTCAGTATCTCCACACTTTGCGGCAAAATGTAACATATTCCTCCTACTGTTATTAACACAGGTTACATTTGCCCCCTTCTCAAGAAACCATTTCACTGCGTGTAATTTGCCCAA